AAGAGCAAAGAAACTGGAGATCTTTTTAAGGGCAAAATAGAGGTGTTCGCTACTGGAACACTTATGAAATGCCCAGGCAATTGACGCGCCCGAGGTCTTGCCACAAACGAATGTCGACAGAATCGGTCAAAACCTGCTGATTCACGAGCCCCCCATGAAACCGAACGATTGATGCACGTCGAAGCAGTAGAAAGAAGAGGTAAACAGACTCCTAGGGCCAGGGCCCAATCCGAAAAGTTCATACCCAAACAATGGCGTCCAACACCAGTAGTGAAAGTAAAGAAGAAGATGGCAAATGGAGGGTTGTGTTAGGACTTCCAGCCTCACAAGCTGCCCAAAGGACAGCTTCCTCTCCAAATCGACCAACGAGACCGCATAGGACATGAAAGATGAGTTTGGATCATACAGAGGGTACCCACCAAGATGCATGTACCCTCTAGACGAGGAGAAGACCGCGTTTCCCATCACCTAAATAAAGGCCCTGTACTGTTACAGTAATGCCTTTGGGGTTAAAAAAGCAGGGCAACCTAATCACGTTAGTAATAAAGAATGTTTAAGCCTGATTGGCAAAAAACAATGTAGAAAAGTCTATCATCGCGACATGCGTCGTGAAAGACCAAGGAATCAAAGACCTTGCGAACCTAAAAGAGGTCCTTGACATACTCAAAGATATCGGCTCCGACCAACGCCCAAATGCGGCTTTTGGAAGTTGGATCAGGTAAATTTTTAAGGCTATCTGGTAAAAGAAAGGGCAATTGAGGCCCAGTCCTGACCAAATCAAGGCCCAATCCTGGATTACACGGACCCGACATCGGCAAAGCAAGTTCAAATGCTTACTGAAGGGCCGCAAGCCCTAACCAGATCATCAGCAGAGAGCTTTGAAGATAGTGCGACCTTTTTCCTTCAACTTGGTAAAAATAAGCCCACGACCCTTCCTATGTGACAGAAGAATGTTTAGCCGCCCTTAACGACCTAAAAAGTACTTGACCACAACTCCGGTCTTCCAACTCCAGTACCAGGGGAAGGATGTTTTGTACTTAGAGTCTCAGAACATGCAGTCAGGCAGTGCCTATGCAGAGACAAAAGGAGAACAAGGCCTGTTATATGTAAGTAAAAACTTTAAGCCGACGCAGAAACAGAAATACCCCCTCTAACCCCACTGGAAAATTAACTGGCCTTAGTAATGGCTTCAAAAGATAGTTGATCCCATTACTTCAGGCACACAAGAATTGTGTCCTACAAGCCCCCCACTGAAGTCCTTGTTTGCACACCAAGAGACTTAACAGGGGATACAAATGGGCAGTAAACCTCGCCCAGTGGAACCTGGAGTTTGGCCGAGAACGCAATAAAGGCCAAGTTAGCCGACCTTCGTTCCGCAAGAACTCACACCCTGAACCATCGCAAATCGGGGGCTGTCTGTCGCCAATGAGAATTCCAAAAGCAAAAAAAGAATCCCACCAAAGACTAAAAAAGCAAGAGAAAGAGCACTCAGACCTGCAGCATTATCGGCGATTCATTCAGTCTAATTCGTCGATGGAAAAGTTTCAAACCGCAGGGGCAGGGGCAGGGGTACTTATACCTGATCTCCTCCAGATGGAAGGAATAGTAGAACAGTCATCCGTTTGGGGGTTCAAAGCCTCCAACAATGAAAGCAATAAAGCATTAATTGCAACGAGGGGCTATAGCTGGCAAGCACAGCAGAGTATGACGAGGTATATGTTTTGTGTGATTCACAAACTGCATTGTTAACCGAGTAAACTAGAGAATTTGACACCAGCCTAGAGGACCTGAAAGGAATGTCGGCCATAATCGCAAAAGAAGTCATCAGACGGCACCCCTATTTCAGAATGCAATTACCAATTTAGCCGAGAATGAACCAACACCACGCCGACGCTTTGGCTAACTTGCGAGTTCAATTCAATGGAAGAACAAGGACAATTTGATGACTACATGTCCGGCACCGAGCATAGAATAAACAGCAACCGAACAGAAGCAAATGTTGTGTAGACTTGGACCGAAGCTGGCAAAAGATCAAATCATTGCAATTCCTAAAAGAGGGAGCCTGCCAGAAAGACCAAAGGAAGCACCAAATAAATATCAAGATACTGAGTCGGCCAGATTGCAGTCCTAACAGCAGAAGGCATCTCTACAAAACTCCACTGCCCGCTTTTAACGGTGCTTAACACCTTTTGCAGTTGAAGATTCTTTTTAACGGAAATTCGAGGAATTTGTGGAGCCAATGCTGGGCAGATCATTAGCCCCCAGGGCCATTAACCCAAGGGGTATTGGTGGCCCTACATGCAAAAAAAGATCCGAGCCTAGTGTGAAGAAGTTGAAAAATGCATAAGGTTTGCCTTTGAATACATCAGCCCAGCTTGCTGACCCTGAACCAGTATCCAGCCCTTGGCCGTTTGCCCAATGGGGGCATGGATACTTGGAACACTTCCCCAGGCCAACTGGACAGAAAAAACTGCTAGTAGCAACAGACTACTTTACAAAATGGATAAGGCAGAACCTCTTGCCAAAATCGAGATGTGGAACAATCAAGATTTTATATGGAGAAGACATTATACCAAGATTTGGGATTCCAAAGAATAATTCCGCAAGGAACAATTTGACAAGCAAACTCATCAAAAACTTTGTTGCAAAATTCAAAAATCAAGAATTTATTCTCACACACAAGTTTTTCCTCAAAGCCCAATGGCAATCCAGAGGCATCTAACAAAAGTAATACTGGTTGGAAAAGAGAGGCACTGCAGGCAGCAAAAGGAATGGGTGACGATTTGCCCAACGGTACTTTGGGCATGATCGGGACTTAACGCCGAGAAGATCGAAAAGGAGAATCCCCCTTTGCCATGCTTAAGGCACCGACCGCAGTCAATCCCATTGGAGATCGGCATCCAGGGATCGGAACCCAGGGAGTAAAGAATGGAACCCAATGCGTACTCTTGGCCCGAGATCCTGGGATTGTTTTGGAAGAACGAAGAGAGAAAGCGCATTCAGCTTGCGTATACCAGCCAACAGCTTGCCAAGATGCTTACAACAAGAAGATCGAATCCAAGAAGATTTTCAAGTCGGCGACCATGTATAGGAAGAAAGCACATCCGTCGGGACAAGGAAGGATCCGTATTAACTAAACAGAGAGTCGTAATATTGAAACACCTTCGGTGGAGACTATCGAGAGGAACGACGAGAGCACTAGACGAGATGACGTGTCATGATTATGAGAGCTCGTGAGGGAGAGGTTGTTGAGTGTATTACAGAAGAGTATGGGTAGGCCAATATGTGATCATATGTGAAATTGGATTCGTATATTAGACTGTATTCCAAGGTTCGTATGCAAAGGATATCATCCAATACGAGTGAAAGACCTCTTATCGACTCGAGTGATTGAGAAAGTTGCAATTGAGTTTTTTGAAGACATAAATAATAACTCACAGTCAAAATCAGGTTCACATTGGGGCAAAGAAAAAGGAAGAATATTAATTTCCTTAACACTTGTTGAATGAGACGAGACAATGAGGAGAGATGACACACCGTGCGCTGGTAATGGTTCACGTTGTTTGAAAATTTGTAAGCAATTTAACAAGTTGGAATTGAGGCTGATTCTATCTTCCACGTGTTTGATGTCTACGTAGCTTTAAGGTGTGTCAAGGTAAGACGCTCGGTTTAGGATAGCTATAACCGGTAAGTGTAGAGTGAGTTGAGAGTGAGCTTAATGGGTGGCCTGTAATTGACTGCTTGAATAAGAGTGCCGAGATTATTGCGCTTAATTCAACTTGTGAATAGCACCTATTCGATTATGAGAGGGTGTTCGTAACAATGTATATATCTCAGCTTCGGTCTTGTATATCCTATAGCGGGCTAGAGATATAATACAGCGCGTCCATACGTGAGGCACTGAGGAAATATAGAGAGAGACTGCGAGCGTATACATATATACTGGGAATAGGATAGATGAGACTGGCACTTTTCCTCGTTAATGGTGTTCTGGTGAACAGCAGAGAATTATCTGATCTCGATCGTAATGGAAAGTAGAGTGATTTTGAAGAGTGTGGATCGTTGACACTGTACTGTCGATATGTATCTTCTCACGTACGGAGAGTGGTAGCTGAAGATTTGTTAGAAGCATTGACATTTATGTTGGAATAAGGCTAGTTCATGATCCATGTTGAATGGGATGTGTAAATTGTAATATGGCTATCGTCACAGGTTTACTGGTGGCGCGACCCGACACTTATGATTAATAAAGCGTGTAGTGTGATGACAGAATGAATGGTAGTCAATTATAGCAGAGTTGGAAAACTTAAGGAGCTGATTCCATTTGAGACAGTATGCGACTGTATAAGCCACATACTGATTTATATGCGAAGTAAGCTAAGCCGAGGTTATTGCTTAAATTCTCATAGCAATATGTGGGTTGCTTAACTCTAAGGAAGATGCTTAAACACTTGTTGAAATTTGTAGCAATTTACAAGTTTATGTTAAACCGACATATGATCACCTGCTGAGGTATACAGAAATTTACAGGTTAAAGTAAAGGATAAGTATATTATTTAAACACTTGTTGAAATTTGTAGCAATTTACAAGTAGGTTAGACCGAGATCACTGTTTGATACTTGTTGAAACTTGCGAAGAAACTTGCAAAGTTTACATTAAGTAGTATATGTTTATACTTGTTAAAATTTATGAAAAGTTTGCAGGTCAGTATCTTGCCGAAGTAAAAGTTTTATTGTTATACCCGAGGTATATAGCCCCGAGAAGATTACACAAAGGAAGCAAAATGAAAAAGCATGCAAAAATTTCTAAGTATAGAACTATGCAGAAGCAATCAACAGAACATCAGAAGATTAAAAACATTCATAGAAGGAACAGTTGCAGTTACATAGAGAAAAAGCTACGTCGGCCATAAGAAAGAGTTTTTCATTGTACAGAAATTAAAAGAGAGTACAAATTGCAAAGTGCAGAAAAAGAAGAAAAAAGTACAAAAGACATTTTTTCAAGACTCTTCAGTGTTAGCCGCTGCAGGGACTGGGACCTCGGACGATTCTGGTGGAACTTCCTCGGCAACCTTTTCTGCTTCAATCTCAGCATCAATCTCAGCCAGCGTATTGTCTAGATTTCTTTTAGCCAAAAGAAGGTCGGATGATAGTTGCCCGATGGCAATTTCCTTGGGTGCCCCCCCAACCTCGTCACCCTCCTCATCCAAGGTTAAATCCATCACTTGCTCAGCAGGAGGAGGGGACTTAGCTTCAGCAGCATCTTTGGGTTTTCTCACCAAGGCCTCATCATCATTTTTTCCTTCATCCTCATCTTCGGCATCAGCCTCAGTCTCTGATTCAACCTGACTTGGAGGAGGAAATGGTAAAGGAATGGCATCGGCCTTACGAAAGGGCGAGTCAATAGGGAGATCAAGTTTTTTTATCAGGGACATCCAACCAAGGGAAAATCCCCTGTTGCATGCCTGCCTGACTTGAAGTTTATAATCCTCTGCGACGTCGGCCATACCCTGGGCATAGGCCTTTTCATCAGCCTCTTTGACTTCGGCCTCCTTGGTGGCCAAAGCCTGCTGGAGCTCCTTCTCTGCCTGGGCCTTTCTTACTTCGGCGTCTTTCTTCTCAGCTTCAGCTACTTTGCGGATAGCTTCAGCAGACTCTGCTTTCTCTTCGGCCATCTGCTGGGCCTTAGTAGCATCCTCGGCCTGATCCTCCAATTTTTTCATCTTTAATTCAAGAGATTTGATCTCCTTCTTCATGGAGGATGCTTCCCTCTTCATATCAACCAATCTTTGCCGATTTTCAAAAGATTGCATTGAAAATGAATGGGCGTGCTGAATGGCCTAAGGAAAAACAGAAGTGTTAGAAAATATTCTCAGTAAGAAACAGAAGGAAAAATCGCAAGTGCAAACAGGAATACTTACTTAAACGGAGTGTTGGAGCATGAGAGCGTAATTCTCATACTCACTGAGGTCAGCATTGCGTTCCAAATCCTTCGGAAGGAGAATAGCAGTGCTGAGGGCGACACCAACGTTAATATCGTCGGCACTTTCACTAGCCATAATAGGCCTATCCTCCAGGGTTAGTTCAGGGGCCCATGGAACGTCGGGCTTCTTGGACGCCGAGGTCGTCGCAGACGATGACATCGGCCTTTTTTATTGTATAGACCCTGAGGGTTGGGCCCCATCAGACCTCTTGGTGGAAGCAGAGGTTGATTTTTTGCTTTCTGCCAGCTGGGAGATAGGCAAAGTATCCTCAACCTCGGCGTCAGTAGCCTTGGGCTTGGGCTGAGCCTTTTTTACTCTCTTTGGCTTTGGTGGGGACATCTCATGCGATGGTTCAGCATCAGCGTCGGTTGGAAGGTTGGCAAGAAGATCTTGAACGACAGGCCTTGGACGAACCATCTCGGCAGTCTTTACAAGTCTTCATCGACGTTTACGTTCTGGAATTGGTATTAAGTAAGGGGCCGAAGTGGATGGAAGATCGGCTGGGTCAGAGGTGGATCCTTGATCTATTCGGGATGAAGACGTGGTTACAGTTGTGGCAGTTGGTGGGGAAAGACTCTTTTTCTTCTTTTTTGGGACGTCGGGTAAAGTGGATTTATATGTCAGAATGAAGTTCAGCAACAGGAGAGCCTTGCGCCTATGGATTGGAAGACCAAGAAGCTTCTTTAAATCTTGACCCGGGAAGAAGGATTGACGGAAGTTTTTTGGTGGTTGATGAAGATCTGCTGGACAAGCAAACAGACATTAGAAACAGACAAATTTTAAAGACTTAA